GTTAATATCACTGTTATAACAAAATAGGAGAGCAAAAATCGGACACCCTTTTATATATTTTTTAAGAAATTGAGACCCATCCATTATTTAAAATACATCTTTGAATATCATTTTTCATACTTTCAAACCATCTGATAAATCATCATTTATTTGAATAATGTAAAAGCCTACATATATTATTTTAAATATCAAGTGTGATCTAGACTAACAGGAAGTGTTTTTTGCAATAATAAAATGATAAATGAACCCCCCCCCCCCACCCCCGGTTAAAAAAAAGTTATTTCATTTTGTTTATGTTGAAAAAGTACATATTTTATGCCCTTTTCTAGAAAATATTTAATTATCAATTGAATTAAAATACTCCTTACAACTTTTGAAACTTCAACTTGATTGTTAAAAAAAAAACCAATAAGCAATTCTTAGAGGAGAAAAATAGTATACCGATGTTTCAAATTACAATGCTCTCAAAACAACGTTTTTAGAATAAATTTTGGAGTCAATAAAGTCCCTCAAGTCTCTCTGTCTGTTCTCATCTAAACTTTATATGAAGAAAATTTATTTGGTAATCTCTTACTTTTTGGAAGATAAAACGTTAAATATGTAACAAGGAAATTATTTCATTAAGATATAAAATTGCAATTTTAAACGAAATTATTATGCAAATTGAGGGACCCTCTATCATTGATTCACAATATAAAAATAAGAAGATGTGGTATGATTGCCAATGAGACAACTCTCCACAAGAGACCAAAGGACACAGAATTAACAACTATAGGTCACCGTACGGCCTTCAACAATGAGCAAAACCCATACTACATAGTCAGCTATAAAAGGCCCCGAAATGACAAATGTAAAACAATTCAAACGAGAAAACTAACGGCCTGATTTATGTACAAAATAATGAACGAAAAACAAATATGATATACAGCAACAAACAAGCTCATTTTATATGCTTGAAAAGTGTTTATCCATCTAAAGACCTCCAGTCAATGTAAATGTCTGCAAAAGTGCTATATTGATGTTCTTTTTGGTCGACATCATACCTAAACGTGCTAAATATGATTTGATATTATTCAAACTACTCTTCCAATCTTTCCACGAATGATTTCAATCACTTTAATTTACCCTTTTATGTGTTTCGGGCAAAAACTATAAAATAAAAAGAGAAACTGTACACAAAATATTTCATCAGTAATACAAGATAAAGAAAGGAAAAGATATTGTGGTCATTAATTATATTCTAGTCTACAAGGTTGGAGAGTGGCCACTGTTGAAGATGCACATAGACATAGGTGAGCGACATCCGCTCTTTAGGGCCTCTAGTTTTAATATTGATAGGAAGAAATTTGATATGTTAAAGTGTAGCGGTTCAATTTAGTCTTTTTCTTGTTTAGCATCACAAATATAACATGATCTCATATAAAAAAGTGATTCGACTAAACATGTATAGAAGCAGAAGGTAAATATAGTGGCGACAACCGTCTTTATTTGTTTTAATCTTAATGGTTCAGAAATTTGAAGACCTCAGTGTTTCATAACGTGTATACAGATGCCTTGTTAACCAAGTTCCTTCTGGCACATGTACAATGTCCTTGATCTCATTTTCATGTTTCAGGGACTATAGGTATTTTCACATGAATTATTCATTTATAATGAGCAATGTATTTATAAATGTTATAATGAACACGTGTATTTGTTTTCACATTTATTTTGTGACTAAGGTCTACTCAGTAATTGAGAATTTTACGATCTAAAATAAGCGGGAAGAATTGTAACGGTAAATCTATGTTTAATCATGTGCAATTTGACACTTGCCTTCGGAGAGTTCAGTCTGGTCAATTCCGACCCATCAACCTACCCACTCATTTATACTTTATCAAAGTTGAAGTTGATTTGATATATTCATACTTGGAACTCTGATAAAAGAGGACTTTTGTTGAATAATTTAAGGTTTTACATGTATAACAAAAAATATTTCTTTCGTAGATTGTGTATTGTTTAATCATATGTTGAGGCAGCGGCTCTGGACATGCAGATAAATATGAACATTAGTACATTGTAAAAGAAATAATAAGAATGCTTAACTGCACTTTATACGTTTTATATGGTATGTGGGATACGTGCAAGGTCTCCTTGTTCATTAGGCATGATTCACTAGATATTCGCCTCAATTCGTGGATCACTGATCAAGTTTATGTCTTCTATTGAATTCTATGCGACTGTCATAAAAGTGAGAGGTTTAGCTAGTTATAAAAAATATGGCTGTTTTGCATTCGTTTGATGTGTTTGAGCTTTTGATTTTGGCACTTGATAGATAAGGGAATTTCCATTTTAAATTTTCCTTGGAGTTCGGTATTTTTGTTATTTTACTTTTCTCTTGGTCAAAACGTCTTTAACAGGGGTGTGCTAATTATACGAAAACTGCTCCAAGAGAGTTATGAGGAAGAATGTTGTAATCAACACAAGTTTTCATTCACCATCATGAATTCGTTGACCAATATGATGTGTCGGTGTCTCAACTCACTAGTGGTATGTCTCGACGGTCTTATATCTATAGATGTCTGATCTGTTATTTATCCGCAACTGGCCTCTTTTCTCTTGAAGATTATGCGATTCTCTTAGTGTTTGCTTGTTACCTTAAGTTGTCGCTTTTTTCGAATGATTTTGAGATTTGAACATCGGTTAACTACAATCGCCTTGATTTAAGTAATTTATGTTTACGAAATACCTGACAAAATAATTAGCATTTATGAAATTATATAACTTACGCCAACACTTCTTTACAGAAACAAGGAAAGCGAACGATTTAAAAATAAGATATGCACGCTGTTAGCGTTAGCCAAATGTAAATTACTCTAAAAACGAAAATTAATAATAGGGGACGAAAATTATCTATTTTGTTGTAAATCTTTGTACAGAGCTTCCCGTGAGAACTGCAATATTCAAATATTCAAAAGGACAACTTCTAAGCTCTTTTAAAGAAAAAAAAAAAACAAAAAAAAACAAGACAAAACGCATCAAAACCACTTTCTTTTTAGAGAGAAACAAATATATTGCATGTTTTAATTACCTTTTTTCTTTAGAAATCTTAATTTTTCTTTTAACAATTAAGATCATTGACTAGGAATCAGTATGTTCAAGAACATGCAAAGACAAACAGTACATGAAAATCACTTACTCTTATATAACGAAACCTGGAAATACCAACACAATTATAATAACGAATATTATTCCGTATCAAAGAATAGTGCGACATACTAAAAGCAACTTTCAAGTAACTAACCGAGAATATAAGAAAAGCATGTAATAACTGAAACTGGATAATATGCTATGTGATATACAGTCCCTTTAAAATGTCTATAATCAATCGGTTGTAAAGAGGGATCTTCATTTCTGTATTCTTTCATTTTCTGTGCCATTTGTCTCTCATCTTTATAAAAGTTACATATCATTCTCTATTCTTTATATGTAAGCACCTCATTATTCTCTATCATCATATGTAAGCACCTCATTATTCTCTATCATTGTATACGCCTATGTTTCTCTATTCTTTATTTGTTTGTCCATTATTCCGTAGTATTTGCTCAGTATTCTCTATTCTGTAAACTCCATCCAGACCCTCATTTTCATAACGTTACGGGGTAAAATTACAATTGCATAATAATGTCACTTTAACAATATAATAAATGTTATACAAATATCAAACTTTATAATAGTTCACATCATATGTCACTAGACAATGTTGAAGGCTTCTTTGTGACTTTAGATGAAGAACAACAATAAAAGCCCATAAGGTGTTTTCTGTACACATTGTTGTTTTGTATCAAGAATTGATACACCATAATTTGTGAGAAATAGTTTTAGGTGAAATTGGCCCTTCTTCTTTTTGACCAAAACTGCTGATCTTGTATTCAATATATTTTTTTTTGTCTTTATATTTATAATCAAAGTTTATCAAACTTTCACTTGTTCCATTATGATTAATTTGTTTAAAATAATAACAGATAGTTTACATAATGCACTACAATTTAAGAATTTTAAAGCTTAGATTGAAATTGAAGATTAAGTCATCATAGATAACACTTGAAGAACGTGAGTTACGTGCCTTAACGTAATGTCTGTAAAATAATGAAATTGCAACCATTTTACTCACTCACAGTTTTGTATCCGAAAGTGTAGACATCTTTATTGTCTAATATTTGAAAAATGAAATATTAATATATTCTTCCAATCTATAATTCAGTTAAAGTTTATAACGCTTTATTACATACTATTTGATATATAATGCAAGCAATTATTTATTTTGAAAACATCGCCTTTCATGTGGCAAATAAGCAATATTGACAGGTTTGTGGTTGGATGTGCTACATGGTTTTTCCAATTGCTGTAATAATATCATTACCATGGGAAAATTGTTTCTGATAATTAATAATTAAGTAACTAGTCATGACGATAAACAAACTTTAAGTGGAATCGTAGTAATGCAAATGCGTATAAACAAATATTAGCTTATTAAGCTCAACAAAAATATTCAGGTTTTGGCATTTCCGGAAGAGTTGGATACGAAACCCCACCTCCAAAAAAACCCTTAAAAGATACAAACTCAATGCATCTAAAAACATATTTTCTACTTGACCAAACATAGTGTTCCCAATGCAAAAGTATATACCCCTTTTAAAGTTGCCTCCTAGTTACTTGTGATTGATTGAAGTAAGCAAACTTTTAAAGTGATGTAAATAATTCAAATGCATTTAATTTGGTCCTTTTGACTGAATTCTTGTTTCCAATAATGTATAATTAAGTGGTTATGCATGACGATAAGCAAACTTTTTTAAAGTGATGTAAATAATTCAAATGCATTCAAAAGCTTTAAAACCATGCATGCTCGTTTTGTTAAATAAAGGAAAGACCATTCATTAAGAGAATTGTCTGTCATGAAATATGTGATGAAACAATTGAAGAAAGGCTTGGCTTTCATAATTTTATCAATTTTATTCCAGCAATACAGATGTCTATTGGAGGAATTTTGTGAACAAGATGACACCGAATGCCAGCATCCTAACAGTATAGATGGTATTGGGTATCTGCAGCATGACAGAAGTCAGCAATCTAATATACTCCGTCGATTGCAACAGCTCAGTATGTTAGAATGTGTAAGGGAATGCTTTTATACATCACGGTGCGTCGCTGTGAACTACAGGAAGAATTGGAAACTGTGCGATGTACTTGATGAATTACCTGCTATAGAAAATCTGAAAGTAGAAGCTGGGAACATCTATACTAAACGATCAACCTGGTCTAAGGTATTCATTTTATAATCCGGGAAATGCTCTTTTTTACAAAATGTTAATTTTCACATACGTTTACAAGGATTTTTATATTATATTCATTTTCACATTTATTCAGTTCTGCAAATGTTTATTGTCGCTAATCTTACATTAGTTCGGATTGTTGCAATTCTAAAAAGTGAAAAAAAAACATAACTGTACAATATACGAATTGACAAAAACAAAATGGAAATAAATGTAAATGTATGATATATAGATACATGTACAAATTTCGTGGTTGAAAATAATCGAAATCGCCTGAACTTTAAACGATGTACAATCAGGTACGTCGACATGATAGTTGAAGAACCATCTCCAGCAATGATTCATACCTGTACCATCCATCTTGATACATCCATATACAAAATTTCAGGTTACAAATATGAAATTACTTTCCACAATCCATTTTGTTATGAAAAAGAATACTAGCCTGTTCATTGAACAATTTCTATACTCATGTTTATCTTTGTACAGTCTTTAGCGGGATCATGTGCAGACCACACTTGCTTTGTCGGAGAAAAATGTGTAAAACTTAGAACTGGTGGTAATAACTGTTCATCCGTTTGTAAGTTATTTTAGATATATGACCCCGGATAGTTTTATATAACTCTAGAATATGTTTTCTTCAAGAATACACAACTTTAAAAGAGTCTATAAAGTATTTTCAAATTTGTCCGTTTATTTTCAAAATTTTCATGCTCTATTCCTTTTAAAATTTTCAGTTCAATTTTTTGCATGCAAAATTCTTGTTCTGCAGAATAGAAAAATAACTTGTTTCTATATCAATATGAATTTCTCTTAAACAATATATAGGATTACTTTATGGGAACACTTTTATACCTTTGTATATAAGCGAAGAAAAAAAAAGTAAACACAAATACTGAACTCCAAGATAAATTTAAAAGTGGAAAAGATTGTGATACTCATGCTTCTGTTTACTTATTTATAATGACAGTTTTTTTAACATTTTTTCAATATCCCACTTCATCATTATCATTTTCAGATTGTAAGGATTCTGTCCCAATCGCAGATAATGCTACTTGTATTGAAACGTTTGGATTATATAGAAATTTGAAAGCTGGAAATAAATTTAAATGTAAAGCAGGGTTTTTGATGATAGGACGTCCCTTCATAGTATGTAATGAACCTGGAAAATGGAATAAGATGTTCTCATGCAAAGACAAAGGTGAGTTGGTAGCTCTTATTTGAAAATATCAAATATTTATATTTAACAGGTTGGGTCCTTTACCTTATACCAGTATGCATAATTAAGCCAATACATTTGTTTGCTAACATAATACTCTATTTGTTTTACCTGGGTCACTGACCAATCCAGCGAATGAGTTGCGATGCATGATTCACTATTACGTGTTTACAATTTACCAAGAACAAAAATTAAATGAAATAATGATAGTAATTTGATATAATTCTTTACAAAAACAAATGGGACAACTCCTATAGACACGTACACGACTATATGATGCCATATATATATTTACGACGTTCTAAACTCTAGCTAGGAATTAGGGGAAGTGTGGCGTATATGTCAATGTGCAACAACCAAACGAAAAATAAAGCTCAGCATTAAGTCTTTGATATGACCGGTCTCCAATAAAATTGAGAATGGAAATGGGGAATGTGTCAAAGAGACAACAACCCGACCATAGAACAGACAACAGCAGAAGGTCACCAACAGGTCTTCAATGCAGCGAGAAATTCCCGCACCCGGAGGCGTCCTTCAGCTGGCCCATAAACAAATATATATACTAGTTCAGTGATAATGAACGCCATACTAAACTCCAAATTGTACACAAGAAACTAAAATTAAAAATAATACAAGACTGACAAAGGCTAGAGGCTCCTGACTTGGGACAGGTGCAAAAATGCGGCGGGGTTCAACATGTTTATGAGATCTCAACCCTCCCCCTATACCTCTAGCCAATGTAGAAAAGTAAACGCATAACAATACGCACATTAAAATTCAGTTCAAGAGAAGTCCGAGTCTGATGTCAGAATATGTAACCAAAGAAAATAAACAAAATGACAATAATACGTAAATAACAACAGACTACTAGCAGTTAACTGACATGCCAGCTCCAGACTTCAATTAAACTGATTGAAAGATTATGTCTTCATCATATGAATATCAGGCACAATCCTTCCCGTTAGGGGTTTAGTATCATACCATCATAACATATATGAGAAGAACATAACCCGTGTCATGCCAACAATTGGTTTTTAAATAAATGTGTTTAGTGCCGATGCAAAGACCCTATAAGTGAATCAATATTAACGCCAAAATATGCAATCTTTAATGACCTGACAACAGTATCGTAACTATATCCCTTCTTAATAAGTCTATTTAAAGGTTTTGTTAGCTTCAGAGGTGAATACTGACATTTTTGTGCTTTATAAAGAATATTTCCATAAAAAATTGGATGTGAAATACCTGAACGTATAAGAAGTCTGCATGTTGAGCTATATTTACGAATGATGTCCTTATACCGATGATAAAATTTAGTAAATGTTTTGACAAGTATATTTATATAATAACAAATAAATGAGAATACTGAATACTGTCAATTCAGATATAAATGCGATGTTTTTATTTATGCGAACAATGTGACAGTATCAGTATTACAATCATTAAAACTTGCATTAAGAATTTAAGTACTAATTTTCCGTATGTATATGTATATTTCATACAATGTCGAGGATAAATTATTTATTTTCCAATTTTTTTTACTTCGAAAAAAACCTTAAACAATGTTTTAATTTCTAAAGAGAAGATTGATAGGTTCTTAACGAAAAAAATGACATTTTGTTCATATTTTACAGGATTTCTTCCAAATGACTGCAGTGACATTTCACAGGGAGGTGTATCAGGGGTTTATACAATTTATCCAAATGATCAAAAGTTAGAAGTATATTGTGACATGGAAACAGCAGGATTTGGATGGACTGTAAGTGAAGTGAATTTGTAACATTTAAGGTACCTACTGTTACAGGTACACATAACATATATGCAAAAATGTCCTTGCACAAACACGGGTTACTGGAGTAACCTGTATCTGATGTGCTCTTTTCCAAGTATTGAGATGTAGAATGTAATAACGATAAACTATGACACGTAAACGTCTCATTTTATTGGTACGGAATTTATTGTTTTTATAATATTGGGATTATCTTTTGTTTTTGCTTTACGTGCAACCACAATCATATACTATTTGAAATTCTAAAATAATTTATTTCAGACTTTAACCTTCACAGATTGACTTGGAATTTGAATATTTTGTTTTATGATTTTATAGGAATGTTTTCATCATATCTTGATCTTTTTCTTGAAATTTATGTTTACCCTTGCGGAGCACCTGAGATCACCCCCCCCCCCCCGCCCCCCCCCCAGTTTTTGATGGGATTCGGGTTGCTCAGTCTTTAGTTTTCTATTAGTTTGAATGTCCCTTTGCCCTTTGGTATCTTTCGCCTCTCTTTTATGCTGAAGATGGTAGAAAACTGGGACATTTGTTAACGCTATGGCCGCTGTCGTGTTATTTACGATATTCATAAACTGATTATCATTCTGAAAAGCTTACTAGAAGAAATCTACTCTTGATTCGAATGCAATCTCTTTGAGCCAATACATTTCAATTGACATATCTTGAACCGCCATATTGAATTATTAGAATCAACAAATGTTTAATTTATATAATGTACATTTTCACTTTTAGTCATGCATTGAAAATGTCATACGACCTTTTGTTTCGTTTTTTACCGTTTATGATTTTGATTCACATGTTAGCTGATAAAACTGAATACACTATATTTAACATTTTATCAGCATTGAATGTAATTAACAATTCGTTTGAAAAAGGCAATAGGATAGTTTTCCTTGATTTTAACATACTATGTTTTTGTATCTATAATTTTTCTATACTTATAGGTTTTCCAAAGGAGAATAAATGGCACTATCGATTTTTTCAGAAGATGGTCTGATTACAGGATTGGATTCGGAAATTTGAAATCTGAGTTTTGGTTGGGTACTTATCTTATAATCCATTTATTTATGTAATTATTTATGTGGTCACCTTTTTTAGGTTTGTGTATCCGGTTTTGACATTATTATTTCAAAATACTTTCCAAAGTAAAAATAACAACGAGGAAACCTTTATGGTATAGTAAGTTATGAAATGTCCCCGGATGACAAAAGAGGACAACCAACTGCATGATTCACTCTTAAAGAATAAACAAACAAACAAACAAACAAATAAAGAAGACACCAATGCTATTAACGACAACCACTGAATTACAGGCTCCAAATTCAAGATACTAAGACTTCAGCTGTGCAACCCAATTGAAATTTACCCAAAACAGTTAATTTTGCATAAAAAATTAAACATTCATATAATCTCAGCAGACAATATTGATGACACTGAAACAAAGCAGACACTTCTTTAACACATGGTATTACATTCATTTTGGAAAAAAATGTGATAATTGGAAACGCTTTCTGTTCAGTTGAAATTCACGTCTGTAGCTTTTGGCTTTTTATCATGAACGGTTGTTGCAAACAGGTAACATTAACAAGCATTATATTCTTCTGATAACATATTGCATGGATTTGCGAACTTAAAAATAGCACTCTACATTTTGATTTCTTGGTGTATTTACAATTGTTGAAAATTTAAATCAACCAATATAGATAATTTCGTTAACTAAATTTGTTTAGGCTCCGAAGTTTCGCAATTTGGACTTCATCATGTCGTTGAGAGATGTAACTGATAAGGATGTTTAAATAAATGGAGTAGCTTTCAGAAATAAAAAAAAAATTAACCAGACATGCTCACATTTTGACAGCGTGCTTTACAATTTATAGGATTCGGCAAAATATGCTAAGCTGCTTGATTTCGCTTTATTTTTTATGCAATTTCATTTCATTTTCGAATAGGAAATAAATTCATAAACCTTATTACATCTACTGCAAAGTACAGGCTGTACATTCACCTTGAAGATTTTGAAGGGAATTCGAGATACGCAGAGTACAGCAACTTCAGTGTAGGAGATGAAGCAAAACATTACGTTTTGAATGTGAGTGGATATAGTGGGGATGCAGGTAAACTTTAAATATTTATTCCGGTACGATACTGCTATTTATCGGCAATTTGTACATTTTTCCTTTGATCTGACTTCCTAATATTTTTCTAGATCACGAACAGGACCTGATACTCGCAAATATCAGGCAATGATGTCGCACATCGGTGCAACAACGTCACGCCTTCATATCCATCCGCTTAAATTTATCAGTGAAGTTCACTTGACTCCGTTCATACAACCAAACAAGTATCACAACGTTTTTAACGCTTAAAATTAGTTTTACTTACTATTCAATTTTATTTCTTATTTTCAAACAAAAAACATTTTGTAAAGACAATTACCGAAAAAAAAGAATAATGGCATTTTTTTTTTATACAGACTTCATAAGCCCGAATATCAGCTCGCCCTAATGGGATTGCTTGATATTCTTGATGATAAAGTCAGTACCAAGAACAAACATGCTTCTTTATCCTTGAAACAAACAGCAGAACTGTATCTTCAACTTCGTACTTTATTTAGCCTTTTAACTTTTTGTTATTCGAATTTTACTAACGAGTCTATTGTAGACGAAACATGCGTCTGGTGATTACAACTATAAGCCAGATATTTATTGTGAGTTTTATCTATACGATAACGTAACACTGAGTTCATTTTGTCGAGCCTGCGAAATTTATTTCGCGAAAGCGAGACATAGCGATCCTAGATTCCGTCGTCGTCGGCGGCGTCGATGTCGGCGGCGTCAACATTTAGGTTCAGTCTGTGGTTAAAGTTTTTTTGGACATCAATAACTTTGTCAAACCTACATGGAATTAGATGAAATTTGGACAGTAGCTTTGTTTATGACCAAAATACAGTATCCAGAGCAAAACTTTGAAAATATTTATTTTGTTTTTTCCGTATTTTAATGATAGATGGACTTATTTTTTTATATTTAACAAATAGATGCAGTCTGTGGTTAAATTGTGTTACACATCAAATACTTTGTCTCACCTTCATAGAATTTTATGAAACTTTGATTATGATTAAGAGATAATGTCTGAAGCACACTTTTGAAAATATATTTTCATTTTCAGTATTTTTCTGATAGATGGACTTCTTTTTACAGTTAACATTTACTGACAGTCTGGGATTAAATTTTTTTGACATGATAAGTTCGTTAACCTTCATGGATTGTTATGAAACTTGGACAGAAGCTAATCTTCAAGACCAAGAAATAGCATATAAAAAGAAAATTTGAATCTTTTTTAACATTCTGTATCTTACTGATAAATGGACTCACTTTTTAAGTCAACATTACACTTTTACACTGACAGCAGCAATTGTAGGCAAGACACAGGTTTCCGCGAAACCCCTTACAAATTTTTATCCCGTTATGATTAGAATTCCAGACAATAACTCATAATGGAGCACCTCCTATAATTTGTCTAGTATTACCAACCTTGATCCATTCTACAATTCAGCATTAACGAATTTAAATGTACAGTAATAAATTGGTTGATTGAAACATATTGATATTTTTGGTAGCTGGTGAAGAGAAACATAAGAAATCATGAAACTCAGTTTTAAGTGTTATTCAAGAATTTAAAAGGAGACGTGCTTCATTTAAATTAAAACGATGAAAGAAATGTTTCTGAAGGTGAAGATAGAAGAAATTAATTATAAATAACCAATCCTTTTGATTCATTGAAATTAAAAAAAAAACATTTAGGTATAAATAATGAAATTCCATTTGTACCATTGTGAGATGGGACTGCGACACATTTCACAAAATATCTTACGAGAAAAAAATCGATAGTTATGAACATTTCAATATAACTTGCAATTAACTCTTATCGTAAAATTTTTTTTTACCATTTTTTTTGGCGTTTTGCCTTATATGATAAAAATTATAATAGATGAACATACACTTTAAATCACAAAAATGATCATTAAGGCAAGCTCTACTTACAAGTCAAATTTTGCCGATATAGTTAGTAGACTGTCACTCTTTATAGGAGTGATTGCCCGTTAAATGAGAATTTGTTTACCCTCCTTTGTATTTTGAGCAAAAACTAAAGAAGATAGAGTGAAACTAAACAGACTAAATTATCAGCAATACAAGATCAACAAAACAGATTTTTGTCATAAATTCTATTCTCGTTTACAATATTGGAGAGTGTCCTTTGTTTAATATGCACATAGATCAAGGTGATCGACACAGGCTCTTTAGATCCTCTAGTTAATAAGTAACGTCTTTCCCTAGAAATTTCAATGAAAATGATAAAAATGAGAGAAAACCAAAATATTTGTCTGTGATTCAAGTATGAATCACAATGAAACCAAATAATATTTAATTTAGTGCTAAAGATTTTTTTTACATCCTAAAATTACTGCTATCACGCTTCTTGCTTATGAGATATCCAATCATAACAACTCATACAGTTGCCCAAAAATACCACACCTGCAAAAAAGATAGCTATTTAGCTGTTCTTCGTTAAATCCTTTTCTTGCTTTCGGCATTATCTTTGATAAGCCTATATTTAACGCATCCTTACCACAAAATATACTTTGTTAAAAATAACACCTTCGTACCAGAATATTTTGACAAAAACATCTTTTCTTTCTTTCTTCTTTTTCTAAGTAACTTTGAATAAGAAGATAAAAAAAAAACTTATTGAACAAATGCATGAAAATTGAAAAGCTTTCACATGTTTTAACATTTATACTTTTAACCCACAGACATTTTTCCTCTCAAAAATGCATTATACGTTCGGGTTTCGAACTTACGCTTTTTTGTCAATAACCACAATAGTCTTCGGTCCGCGCATGATACCACTCGACTTCGATTGCTGATATTCAATTACTATCAACTTATACTCTTAAAACAATTTATTGAGAACTCTTGTCAATTGAAATGCACACAAATTATTTATCTGTCTTTTTAACAATGAATTAATTTTATTTATATCCAATACATATATATGTAGAATGGCTAGTTTTTTCGTTTTGCTGTTTTAGTTTTGAGCATTATTTCATTTATAGTTTTGCTAACCCATTGAATATAACGTTTATTCTGAACGTCAGGTTTGAACATGAATTGATGTTCGATTTTGTTTTGTGGTGTGTTGCAATGAACTGTTAAACAATTCCATGTGATAAAATTGTAAAATTAACATTCATTGCATTCATTACACTCGTCACGTATTAAAGTCTTCACAACCAAAACCGTAAAACTACTTCTTTACAGTAAAAAAGGGGGAAAAATTACCATTTTTTAATTGAGATTTATAAAACTATCTGTGATTTAAAAAGAATTTTGCTGAACAGAGAATATTACAGTAAACACATTTCATTCCAGGTACAAGGTTCCAACTCCAATCATTAATATCTTCCGTTATGAATTTGGTAATCATCGACTATACGATCACAGCTATCGGCGGGATGGTTATGTATTGAAAATGTAACAAAATTGTTATCCAAACCTGAAGCACAATTGATTCCTCACGTTCAAATAAATAGTTGTAGTTGTTTAAAAGCTAATAATTGCCTTTAAATTTGTTATACACAATGTCTAACAGTTATAGTTAAATATACTCTCTGATAAATTGCAGAATCAACCTGTACCATACGAATGAAGTTTTCATTTATGTTTAATTTTCGTTTACTTTTTAGATGTCTACATATAGATGTGAACCGTATGTAAACAACCGTATGGAAACTAACTATTAAAGAACAATGTAGACTTGACATACACTTTATGTAATTCCCTTGATCTATTGTAAAAACGTTAAATTAACAGTCGTTTTACCAGAACTTACGTCGGGCGTTGATTATAGTTTACGAATCTACAACTTCATTTAAATTATCTAACACATAATGAGCAAATTTAATAAAAATGGTCAACATAATTAACAAAAACATCAATGAAGACACCCTCCAATTCAGACCCTCTATTTTATCTTCTACTTTGGCCACCTGGATACCCTTCTCAGAACTGCCCACTGTATTTACATTTATTAATATTATTATTCTCTATTTATTGGCCTGATCAGGAGATAGCCTGTCGTATCCTGGTGACCAAATCCACAACAGCATGATGTTTTCCACCACAGACAGGGATAATGACAGATATACAGGCAACTGTGCAACATCGTATAAGGGAGCATGGTGGTACAATGCATGTCATAAGGCTAATTTGAATGGAGCATATTTAGGTGGATTTCACAACTCATTCGCCGATGGTATCGAATGGTATACTTGGAGAAGATATAACTATTCACTGAAGTCTACTAAAATGATGATTAAACGACACTAAGACACGTTTTCTGATACTCAAATTGACATTTTTAAACGAGCAAAACTACGTTTTGTAAAATTGGTTCAAAGATGTAACCGATATCTTTTCTTACTACCTGAAATTTCTGTCATAAAAACAGTCACATGAAAAAATAGTGTTTTTAATTGTCAACCTATACCCATTACGGAAAAAATATAGAACATATGCCATAGTTTAGAGGCGGTCTTGAACAAATTATATGTTTATTTACTTCAGATTTTTATTTTCCGTATTTTCAACATCCGAATTCGAAACTGTCAAAGCCATCAAATCAAAAGCCCCGGATGTGTAAGAACTTAAATACGAAAGGAGCTATATAACCAAGGAAAAAGAATAGACACAATTCATCCTTTAGAACACACTCTTTCCTTTAGAACACAATCCATCCTTTAGAACACAATCCATCCTTTAGAACACACTCCATCTTTTAGAACACAATCCATCCTTTAGAACACAATCCATCCTTTAGAACACACTCCATCCTTTAGAACACACTCCATCCTTTAGAACACACTCCATCCTTAAGAACACACTACATCCTCTAGAACACACTCCATCCTTTAGAACACAATCCATCCTTTAGAACACACTCCATCCTTTAGAACACACTCCATTCTTTAGAACACACTCCATTCTTTAGAACACAATCAATCCTTTAGATCACAATTCATCCTTTAGAACACAATCCATCCTTTAGAACATTACTTTTCTTAAACAATTCTAAATAAATCAACAGTACTTTTAAAATTATAATCTTTATTTTCATTTTTGATAACTGATAGAATAGTGGACGAACAAAAGAGATACCAATAACATTAACTATACCAATTTAACTGCACCAAATAAGCAGTTCGACAATATATCAGTGATGCTCCACGCCAAACATTTGAAAGTTAAAAACGTTGAATAGCTGAGAAATGAGAAACCAATGCAAGCTAGGACAAGGAGCTATGGCTATGCATGATGAAGATTCAACTGTTTATTCAAAATGATTGCGAAATTTCATATCGGTGTATTTGAATAAAATAATATCCATATTAGACACCGTAAAAATCCTAGGTAAAAAAAAAAACAGAAAATATCATCCCCCCCCCCCCCCCCCCTAACAAAAATAAATACAAAAAAGACAAAAAGACAAGTCTACATGATACAGAAATCAAAGTTTGAGCAACATGAACCCATCACAAATTGGAGATGAGACCAGGTGATGAGGTGTGGTAACACCTTTCTGCTCCCTAATCGACATTCGTCATGTTCAGGGTTTCCCCTGTGTCAATTCTTTTTTCGACACCTCTTTTGCCAAAACGATATTTTTATCGCAACACTCATTTGTTTTCGTATACACGCATTAACATATTTTTAATTTCGAATTGTTTTCATTGAGAGGTTGTCATCCCGAATTCCCGAAAAAATAAAACATTCTTTCCCAGAATCCAGAAAAAGAAACATTTATTCCCGAGTCCCGATAAGTGTAAATCCAGGATTCTCATAAAAATAAAGGCCCAATCCCGACATCTAGATAAAGGAACTTCCTCCCCTTTTCCGTCTTTCTATAAAAAAAATCGGGTTGCAGCATTGTTGTCTCATTTATCATATTCTACATATCTTTTTTATATCCTACATTGTTATAAATGTACACTCAATCGGGGAAAACAATCTTGCACTTTATTAAAGATACTGTAAAATGTGACTTCTGGGAACACGGGATCATCTTGAATCAGTTTATTGGACACTTCCTGTCTAATTTAAGGACATAGAATAAAATCAAAGTTTTGTGTTACTTTTAAACATCTTCTTTAAAACAATAGTTTTGTTTTCCGAACCATTGTTAAAAGTAAAAGTTGAGACGTAAAACTATGCTTAAAAAAGGTGCGCCGCTAAAACGACTGTAAAGTACCCACTTCAAAACAATTATTGTTATCAAAGTTGTAAAAAAAAATCCTTCAGGTGACATGTGACGCCAATTTACCACACATTTTCATTAAACAATATAATTAACACCTTTATTAATTAGTCCATCGTATCTGATTGATATCAATTTCAATGAGCTGATTATTGATTTTCTGACAAAATTGATACGAGTTCAAGGTGAAATCCGAGTATCGTCTAATCAGGGAAAAAGTCCGAGAAACCTGAAACAAAATTGAAAAGATTGACAAAGTCGGACATTATATTTCTTTCGCTAATCATGATGTTTAATCGCCACAATTATAATATTTGCTAGCAGAAACCCTGGTCATGTTGTTTCCTGTCCCTCCCAAAAAAAACCAGCTGTTTCCGCAAATTCATGCTTAGGTTACCTAGTTTACAAAATATAACCGATGATCCTGTCTGCCAACCAAAGTAGCTGCCAAGGCTAAAAAAGAACACGGGATAAAGTTTAAGTATTGTTTTATTATCTTGTAAACACGCATGAAAGATACCAGGCTTATAATTCGAAACACATCAGTGGCGCTTGAATCAAAACAAATTGAATGGCCAAAAAAAAAAAACATAAATGGAGAGCATTAAAAACTGACCATGCGGAAAAAACAGGCAAATTATAGCAGGTGTTAAAAAACCAAGTGGTTCGAATATATACACAGTTTATACAGTAAATTTACAGACAATGAACATATCAATAATAAGTCAACACAAAAGTGCCGGGTTCTTGGCTGTAAACCGCTATAGAATAGTTAGACTTGTGTTTATATTAGAAACAATCTTCAATTAGATATTACATTTCATATATCCTTGAAATTAAAGGAATTACCGAAAGTAGGTCTGCTTGATATCTTGATATTTTCCTCAATTTTGATACAGATTGACGACTAAAATCTTTGGCAAACGAGATGATTTCAAAAGAGAGACGGAAGATACCAAAGGGATAGTCAAAATCATAAGTTGACGAACTGACAATGCCAAGGCAGAAAATGAAATATGACCCAAAGGCAAAAACAGTCAACAAAACAGAACACGGCTTTCCAATTGTCAAAGTCCCTTTTTTGAGTTGTTACATAGCCTCTGCTTACTCCATGGTATGGGGTTTTATATATTCTATAATCGACACTAAATATGTTTTATGGTCGCCTTCACGAATAGGTTGTCTAATACGATGTGTCTGTGTCTTGAGAAAAATTACTCGTAATTCATGAACATTTCAGTACAACATACGATCAATTTATGTCGTACGTTGTTTTGTGAAAAGAGCCTGAAAATACAGTTTAGTCTGCCTCATCTCAAATTCGCATTGAAGGTTGGCTGAGAACAAACTTTACGACAGAAGGGCTGATTTCAGCTATCCAACTATGAAATACATTTATATATAGCAACATTACAGCAACAGCTGAATATTGAATTTTTACGACCAGAAATCACCTTTAAATTGTAGCCAACAAAAGACACAAATCAATAATAAAATTTAACAAGATTTATTATACACAAGTTTACAAGAATATTATACAAATTTTAAAAAATGTCAACTTAACTGTTGAAATATATGTTCGATCCTTTTGTCTTTTCTTTATCCGGAATTCTTCTCTTCACTGTTAGGGGAATCCAAATAGAATAGTATGTCCAATAAGTCAAAATCTAGTATGGTGTAGTTAACGTAAATAAAAGTGTCAATGTAACAACTCCAGAGAACTTATGAGAATCCAAGTATAATAATGTCTAATGTGAAAGTCTAACTTTAGTGTCTGTATACATATAGTTTCTCACGGAAATCTCTAGAACACTGTAGAAGGGAAACTCCTTGAAAACTTTAGAACGGAAACTTCGAGAATACGGTAGAAGTTTAAATTACACATCGTAGATTATGATCATTTCAGAATTATTATGTAAGTCAAATAGAAAGTTCTAATCATTCCATCAGTATCTATGATTGTTCCAATGATTTCTAACCTGCACAGTTATAACAGTATTTCGTAAACAACTATAAATATTATGTAAACATATTATACATGTTATAAGGCCACACAAAACAAATTAGGCCATTTTGAATAAACATAATAATTACAATATCATAACAGAATATCTATCTTCCAGTTGATACGATATTCCAGAGTTTGCACTTCCTATCATGATTTGCTTAATAGAGAGTTGCTGCTGCTTCCAAGAAAATTATTGAACCAAGGGTTCCAGTGATAAACGTTCAGTTATACCTTGAAAGTTTTACGAAAGCCATCGAATGTCTGTTGACCGTAATGGCATACCTGTGTCACACCATACCATGGATTTGTTCTTATTGTCGAAACCAAAATCGCATCTATTTTTTCATCGTGTTTGACATCCCCAAAGAAGACTTTACCGAAATTTTACTTAGCATGGGTAATAAAACGGATGCTATGTTAGGAGCAGGATCTGTTTAACATTTCAGAAGACATTAGATCACTCTCAATTTTTCTAGTTGCTAAATTGTTTATTGTCAATGTAATGGTTTGTGAACTTTTTTTGTCTTTTCGCTGCTTTTTTTCAATGCCCTAATGTTGTCAATGTCCAATTTGTATTGTCCGCCTCTTTTTTCCAATTAAGGCAAACATTGTTTTTGATTTACAAAAACACGAGATGAAAAACTCTTCTGAATTAAGAGCCAGTCTACCAGAAAACCATACAAAATCCAAAATAATGTCCAAATGGCATGTCGGAACCTTTTGAAATCTTATTTATAAAGGAAAAGTAAATATATATCTTAGACTTTGTCGCATTGTATCAATATTTAGAAACAGCCTCATTTGCAGAAAAGCCTGAAAATCACTAAAGTGTTAGCGAAAAATGTGTATAGTTTTAACTCAATAAAGTCTGATTTGTAACAGTGTTACTGGCCATGTAACTTAAAATGACCTGGATAGACAGAAATAAACCATGTCAGGAAAGATTTATCTCGAATGATTATGCGGTTTGGGGTGGGGGTTGATAACATGAGATAACATTAAGTATAACATGGCAACAAAAGATAATAGGCCACAATGAATTTTGAAGGATGTTTGAGTCCATCAATCTCCTAATGTGGCACGTATGTTTCATGAAATAAGCATCAGTGAATATTCCAATGAATATTGTCAAAAATATCAAAAATCCAATTTTGGCAAATTAATGCAAGATGTTGAAATTTGTACTAACTTTCCTATATTTTGATAAATTTCTAAATTATTTAAATTCTAATTAAAACCCATTAACCCTAAGCTATGAATTGACTTAAGACTTGAATAACATAAAATTACTGCATGACACATTTTACATACAGGATTTTACTATGTTTATGTTCAAAAGATCTCTCAACTAAGGAAGAAAAAACCAGTCACAGATGTTCTATGAATTATCTCTCCTTATTGACACTCTCCGTTGTGAAAACACAATGTTTCCATAAGTTGTCTGTCTGTCATTTGTTTTAGATACGTAAGCTTAACAAAATTCCGTACAAAAATTCTGTCCGCAGTGAAAGAAGATCTTCAGAAATACTGTGAAACTGTTTACTCGCGTAGTGGTATTAACCATATGTGCATTCCTAAAATATCAAAAAAACTTCTGGATAATTTTGAATCTTGATCTGTCTCTGAAATCAATTCTATCAAAACCTTTGATTTTTCAACTCTTTATACCAACATTCCCAATGTGAAATTGAAAAATCATCTGAAAGAAATAACCAATAATGCTTTTCAATATAAACGTAGTAGCATACGCTATAAATGCATTGCTTTGGGATACCAGACAGCATATTTTATTAATAGTAAACAAAAAAGTGAAACTTGCTACATCGGGGACCAAGCTTAAGTGATCAGTATGCTGGATTTTCTTATTGACAACATATTTATTGAATTTGGAGGTAGACGTTTTCAATAAATTGTCGGTAATCTAATGGGAAAGAACTGTGCGCCTCTCCTTGTCGACCTCTTCTTGTTTTCATATGACTCGTGGTTCCTTCTGACACTTGTCAAAAACAAGAAGATAAATAAAAGAAGCCAGCTAATTTAAATTTCACATTCAGATATATTAGTGATGTGTTTTCCATTAGCAATCCAAACTTTTCTAATTGAGTTCCATTAAGATATTCTCCTGAACTAGAAATAAAAAAAAAAACAACAGACACGGCTTCCTCCACATCATTTATACCTCGAATTTGACATAAGCGGTCATCTCAGTACCAAAATCTGTGACAAAACGAGGCGATTTTAGTTTTAAAGTTATAAATTTCCCCCAACCTTAGCAGCAATATACCAACTTCATCTGCTGATTTGATATACATTTCCCACCTCATTCATTATGCAAGAGCTTGTAGCTGATACTCAGTCTTTATAAAACGTCACCAGTGTCTGAACAGAAAGTTGATGAACCAAGGTTATGTCTTTCATTTTTGCTTATGTGCTTTGTCTATAGAGTGTCTATATGCCATTTTGTTTTTCTTTGTTGGCATAGTTGTTTGTGTTTAGATAAGGAAATGTATGTGCCACGTCAAAAATATTACAGTTGTTTTCCCTTTGTTTGATGTGCTTGAGCTTTTGATTTTGCCATCTGATAAGGTATTTTCCGTTTTGAATTTTCCTTGGAGTTCGGTATTTTTGTTATTTTCCTTTTTTGTTAATGAGTGTTCAAATTTCGTAAATCGATGATGAAGATAATAAATAAAGGTTACAAACAAAAACTGTGTGAATCGGATGAACCCGAAAAAGAACGAGACCGGGGCCCTTGGTCATAAAACTTTACTCAGTACTCGGAGTACAAATTATGTGCTCGAAACATCAAATCCAGTATTTCGATTGGTTGATTTCTGAGTCTGAGTACAATTATCTTGCCCGAAAGTTTTATGACCGCAAGGCCAGGTGTGTCAACAAGATAAGAGTCTCTGTTTTGCAAGCATCACCCGTCAGGCGAATTCGGACTTAGTCTAAATGTACAAATAGTGTAGACTTAGTTTACTATCGCAGAGTTTCCATAGTAAGATATTGATTAAAACGTGCATTTGGTTTGATTGTACAGTTTTTTAAACAACAAAATGAAATTAAACTTTACCCATCAATTATTCAGGTTTTCAAAATGTTAGTTATAACGCTTTATTGCATATTGTATAATTAACCTTTGATGTATAATGTAATCAATTATCTATATTGGTGACTATTAAATTACAAAACAGCAATTGCAACATGTTTGTGGTTAAAGATGCATGCTAAATGGTTTTCAAATTGTTATAATACGCCTTGTACTCATATATCATCATTACCATGGGAATATTTAACTCGATGCACATAGTGTATCTAATAATTTATGATTCAGTAGTTAGGCATGACGATTAACAAATGTTTAAAGGGATCTGAATGATTATAATGCGCAGCGTGTAATTACAAAACGCTGTGCATTATACATTGTCGTTTTGTTCAATAAAGGAGAGACTATTTCATAGGAGAATTGTCTTTCATAAAAGATGTGATGGAAATTTTAAAGAAAGGCTTGGCTTTCATAATTTTCCTAACTTTGTACAGGCAATATAGATGTTTATTGGAAGAATTTTGTGAACAAGATGACTTCGAATGCCAGCATTCTAACAATATAGATGGTATCGGGTATCTGCAGCATGACAGAAGTCAGCAATCTAATATACTTCGTCGATTGCAACAGCTCAGTATGTTGGAATGTGTAAGAGAATGCTTTTTGACATCATGGTGCGTCGCTGTGAATTATAGAAAGAATTGGAAAATATGCGATGTACTTGGTGATCTTACTGCTGGGGAAAATCTGCAGATCGAAGTAGGAAGTATCTATACTAAACGATCAACCTGGTCTAAGGTATTCATTTCATGATCCGGGAAATGCTCATTTTTTTTAACATATGTTAATTTTTACATTTATTCAGTTCTGCAAATGTTTATTTTCGCCAATCTGAAATTAGTTCCGATTGGTGCAATGCTAAAATTAAAAACAATCATAACTGTATAATATACAAATTGATAAAAAAAATTTATGGTACATAAATACATGTAAATATATAATGGTTGAAAACAATCGAAATCACCTTAACTTTAAACGATATACAATCAGGTACGTCGACATGATAATTAAAAAACAATCTCCCGCAATGAGTCGAACCTGTGCCATCAATCTTGATACATCAAGATAGAAAAGTTTTGGCCTAAATAAATGAACTCGCTTTTCAATATCTATTTGTAATGTAAACGAATACTAGCTTTTTGCATTGAGAAAATTCTATAAACTTGCATATCTTTGTACAGTCTTTATCCGGATCATGTGCAGACCACACTTGTTTTGCCGGAGAGAAATGTGTACAACTAAGAACTGGCGGAAATAACTGTTCATCCGTTTGTAAGTTAATACAGATATATGACTCCAAGACTTTTTTTATATTTAACTCTAAAATACGCGTACTTCAAAAATACACAATTTTAATACAATTGATAAAATATTTTCAAACTTTCATTAATTTTCAAAATTTTAATGCTCTATCGAATTTATTATGCACAATTCTTGTTCTGCAGAATGATAAATAACTTGCTACTATATCAATATGAATTTCCCACAAGGTGGAATACCACCAAATTATAGTACGTCACATCATATATCTTGGGTGTTTCAAAGGACCATTCTTTGTATTATTGCTGTTCCCATAAAATATTTTGGGAACTTCAGGTGACATTGTTACTAAAGCAGGAAAAAAGAGGTGAAAATTTGATTGGTTTCGTCCGGTGATGGTTATTATCTTATATGCTCTGAAATGTTATGTAAAATTTTCACTGTAGTACTAGACAAGATAAAACTTTACCCATGCCAAGTATTTCTATATTTGAAACAAGGATAATTTCATAATTTTTTGAAAATTGTCAATTGAACAAAGACTAATAGGTGAAAATCAATTGTAGTATTGCTCCTTAAACACATATAGGATTACTGTTATTGGAATATTTGTATTCATTTTGATATAAGCAAAAAATGTGATACCAAACATACTGAATTCAAAGATAAATTCATTTAGGAGAAAAGATTTGGATACTCATGCTCATATTCACTGATTTAGAATGACAGTTACTTAAACATTTTTTGAATATACTACTTCACAATTTTCAGATTGTAAGGATTCTGTCCCAATCGCAGATAATGCTACTTATATTGAAACGTTTGGATTATATAGAAATTTGAAAGCTGGAAATAAATTCAAATGTAAAGCAGGTTTTTTGATGATAGGACGTCCCTTTATAGTATGTAATGAGAATGGAAACTGGAATAAGATGTTTTCATGCAACGAAAGTAAGTTGGTAGCTCTCAAATATTTATATTTTACAGGTCGGGTACACTACCTTATACTGTATGCATACTTTAGCTTAATAATGTTCCCGCCAATGTGAGTGTTACTTACATACGACTCAATTCTTTTTGCCTGGGTCAACGACCGATCCAGTTGAAATGCATGATGGACTACTACGTGTTTACAATTTACCGAGAACAAGTATATTCTACAGACTGTCAGACAAATATCTCATTTCTATTTTCTTCTTTTGTGATTACATTTGCAGACCATGATATAAAGTATTATTAACGAATAATTGTTTCTGACCTATGAAAATAGCGTTTGAAATACTCGAATAAAAACCACTAATATAATGGCTAAATAAACAAAAAAATCAGACATTTCAGACAAGAAGCAACAAAATGACATCACTCAAAAACGATTAGTTGTACAAGTTTGCATCCAGATTTCGAAGACGGGAGTATCCTGAACTATCTCGTTAAATCTTTTCTTTTTGGCACAGAATACATTTAGATTTAAGGATATTCAACCTAAATTTTGTACTTTCTCTCAATACAAACGTCAAAAAAAGTCCATAACAATTGAACTAAATGATGCACTTTCTCAAAGATTACCGGAAAGGATTTTCTAGTGTTACCACAAGCACCGATCATATCGCTATATTTGTTTTTATTGTAAATACTTTCTGTCTCTGCAATTGTGTTATTAGGTTATGAGATTATAATTTCATTCATTCATCTTCAATTTTTGCTTTTTCTACATCTTTATTCATAACATGATTACAAAGTGTTATTTTGAGATGAATAACAACAACAAAAGCGCAAACAAGCATACAAAATAGATAAACTAACAACTGTTTACCATTCTCCGGAAGTAAGCGGGAAAATAGACACAAAGTTGTCTGTGAAAAGGGACATGATAAAAGGGGAGTAACTCTATTTTGTTAACATTATGATCAAAAGCAGGTTGGATGCACGATAATGGAAGGACAGTAATAAAGTGAACCCAACAATATTATGTAACAACATTCATGTGAAGAGGTCATCGTCAACATTTAATTTCCTCTAGATATCTCCCCTATTATGCATTAGCTTGATTGATTTGTGACTCAACTAACACTCCTAATTATACTTGTTTATTCTTCTCTCTCATGTGTAGTGTCATAAAAACTGTACATCTTCGGATCAAAAATGAAATAAAGGCAGTAATTTGATATTATTCTCTACAAAAAAAGTTAATTGAACAAAACGAGTTATAGGTTGAACAATTTATCTATGGTTAATGTGTAAATGAATGATGGTTGACCATCTGAACTTTCTACTTATAAGGAAAGCAAATTATATATATCATGAGGTGCTTTTACATATTTTATCTAACGACAATATATTCTTAAACTGAATGTGGAATAGGCAAAGCTGGTATAGCTGTTTATCTGATATAGTATTGTATAAATGAATGAAGAGTTATATATAATAACACATAGATGAAAATACTGAATAACTAGTAGACTAGTTTTAATGTGATTACTTTAATAGCAGGTATAGACAAAATGTCAAAGCAACCAGTGCAAACGTATACATTAAGTTCATGGTGCTTTACAGCACAAGAATTGCAAGTAGTGCTTCCGTATTCTATATGAAAGAGCATTATTTATGGAAAGACATAAGAATATGAAAATTCTTAGAGTATACAGTATCATGTAATCCATTGTTTGAAATATTTTACTATTTTAATAGAGCTCAAAGGAGTTTTACTCGACAATTGACACTTCGTTATTAATTGCACGTCTAATATTATGCTCAGATACAGTGCATAACATTAGACGAAACCTCATCCTTACTGCTTTGACAAGACAGAAAATAAAATCAAATGCTGAAGCATGTGAAAAATATTTTTTTAAATCTGAGCATGCAAATTGAAGATTATATTATACACATTACATGTATTACATTAGATAAACCAAATTATCAACCAAGTTTCACAAGTATCACAGGTGATATTGAACTCGTAGTAGCCCGTAATGCATTGTGGTTTATTGTTTCGATTATTTAATTACTCAGGGACATGTTTACATTTTGTATTTAAGAAATACTATGCAAATGTATTCCGACGTCAGAAATCTAGTACTCTCGAACTGTTTAATTTGAAATTCGCTCGGTTCTCCTGTTTACTACCTTAAAATACCTTAGCTGTATTTGTCAAATCCTTTGGATTTTTGCGTCCGTACACGCGCTTCAAATTCGTTCTTTAATATGCTTTTTTAATTTAGTTGATATGAGTCTCCTGATGAGTCTGTTGTAAACGAAACGTGCGTCTGGCGTACACAATTGTATCTCTTATATCTATGATGAGTTTATTTGTGGTCAGACTAAAAAAGAATTAAAACAGGGGAAAGCTGAAATCGTTTGATTTTGAAATGGTGTTAAGTACAATACAAATGATATGTCTTAATAAAACTGCATTTAACTTATTATATCACTACTAGTATAAAAAGCTTAATTGAAATGTATATATCATTTGATTTCGAGGATAAAATACCATATGTCAAAATTATTATTTAGAAAAATTGATTGCATGTCTAAAGAAAAGACGCAGTAATAAATTATTTATTTACCTATCTTTACTGTAAAAAACCTCTAAACACTATTTTTATTTTCTGCAGAGAAGATTGATAAGTTATTAACAAAAATGATGGCATTTTGTTCATGTTTTACAGAAAGTCTCCTACGTGACTGTAGCGACTTTCCACAAGGAAGTGCATCAGGAGTATACACAATTTATCCAAAAGATACAAAATTCGATGTTTACTGTGACATGGAAACAGCAGGGTTTGGATGGACTGTAAGTATTGTGAAGAAGGTGTACGATTAAACTTACTATTGTTTTAGGTAAAACAACAGCATATGATATAATTTCCTCGCACAAACACGTGCTAATAGAGTAGCCTGTATACGACGTGTTCTTCTCCAAGTATTAAGATGTATAATGTAAGTACGATAGACTATGTCACGTTACCGTCTCATTTGTTTGGTACGGAATTAATTGTTACGTAGTTTTATAACTAACTGTTGTTTTTGCTGTACGTGCAATGATAAATTGTGCATCCACAATCATATATTATAGTACTGTATTAAATAATTTATTCCAGACACCTTGTACCTTAATAGATACTCTTGAATCAATAATTTGCATAATGTTTTATGATTTTATGATAATGTATGATTCATATCTGGATCTTTTTCTTGAAATTGATGCTGACGACTGTAGAAAACTGAGACACTTACCAACAAGATGACTTCTGTCTTCCTAGCATCAACAGTATTTTTGGCTATGTAATATATACCATACAAGCTGCTTTCGTTTACATATCTTTTATTGACGATATTCATTAACTTCTGACAATCTCACGAGAAGAGGTATACTCTTGATTCAAATGCAATCTTTATGTAACAAGTTTTTTTATTGGCTTGCATTTTCCGTCAAATTCATAATTTACATGTCTTGAAACGTCATAATGAATTGTTGGAATCAACACATGTTCAATTAATATAATAAAAACGAAAATAAAACAACATTTACCTCAAAAACGCCGTTTGAGTGATATATAATCTGAATTGTACAAGTAACGAAATTACCTTCGGTTTAAGCGTTTTCATTTGTATGACGTCATGTTTTGCCATGACTTTTATGCACCAAAATAATTCATGGAATTCACGGAATTTTATTTTTATCTTAAGTTATACTTTTCTACAAGCTGTAATGTACCATTTCGTTTTGTGATGCATTAGAATAGGAATAACAAAAATGTTGTTGAAGAGTTTCCGCCGTCAATCTGGATTTGATGGTCGCTAATATCCGTTTTACTGGCTATTCTACGCGTCGCCAGTAAAACTGCAATTGCGACCGTCAAGTCGCCAATTACAAAACTTTTATTCCTTAACTCAAATTACTTTGTATGTTTATAAATTTATAAATTATTACAAATAACATAAACGGTACCAATTTTAATGCACCAGATATCAATGTCTCCCCAGTGAAGCTCGAGCTAAACAAATATTATCCAAAATCTTCTACAAATACGGCTTTCATCTTTTCTGATGGAGGTAAACACTGAAAAGCGCAACGGACGCATACAATTTATAAAGTGTAGTTTTCACTTAAGAGATAACTGTATTGTATTTGAAGCTTTGCGGACGTCCATCGGTAGTTTTACTGTCGCAAATTGAGTTTAACTGGCGACGCGTAGTGGAGACAGGTAAACAGATATTTGCGACAGTAAAACTATCGATGGACGTCCGCAAAACTTCAAATACAATACAGTTATCTCTATTCTAATGCAAAACTAACAAATCGTTAAATTTTAGTCATTATTACAGTGTAAGTATTTCATTAAACAAAAATTCCGCGAAATGATGTTATCTTCTTTGGCGCCTAAACTATGTGACGTCATATGTAAGCTTCTGGCATCCAACGTAAACACCGGGCGTCTTCTGTTTCTGGCTTTTTGTCCGCTTCAGAATGGAATAAAATTTGAAAAAGAAAATGCGTAGGTGCAAAATGTAAGTTTTTTTGCTTATTATTGGAGAAATTACATGTCAATACATTCCGGAATTCAAAATGTCGGCTTCCTTAGTTACAGACAAGAAGATAGAGAATTTTACGCTTTCTGTCATCCAATCAGAACCACTGATACAAAATAATTGCATTAGAATTTGTTATAGCACTGGTACGATACTGCTGCTGGAGAAATATCAATCCCGAGGGTATTATCCGCTCAGTAGTGAGTACTTCTGTACTGACATGATTGATAACACACCTTTCTGAAATTGTTTGCTTATCAATTCAGAAATGATTACGAAAGTAAGGTTTCAACTCCCACAGAAAAAGTTGACCTTGGATCGATTTGGCTATTTTCTTTTTGGTTATATAGTTCTTCAACTGTGTCGATTCTTTAACTTTCTTGGCTTTTAAGTATTCGGCGTTGAGTGTTCCTGATGAAAATAAATCCAGAAGAACGCTTCGGACGCATGAAATCTATTTAGTGTTTTTTTTTTACGGTACTGTAATTCCTTAATTCAAATTTCTTTAGAAAGGTTATGGTGAAGATCGAAGGAAAAAAGTAAAATAACAAAAAACCGAACTCCAAGGAATCTTTCAAAACGGAAAGTCTTTTATCAAATGGAAAAATAAAAGCTCAAACACATCAAACGAATCGAAAACAACTGTCATATTCCTGACTTGGTACAGGCATTTCCTTATGTAGAAAATGGTGGATTAAACCTGGTTTTACTGCTAGCTAAATCTCTAACTGGTATGACAGTCGCATAAAGTGTGTGAATAAAACAAAAAGACATAATAGGTACAAATGTCAAAAATAGGGGTACAGCAGTCAATATTGTGTTACCCTTTGATACTGCAATACTACTACTACTACTACTACTACTATTTCGTCTCCTATTATCATATATTTTTTGATTTTATTATTATTATGATTAATATCATTATTGTTATCATAATTATTATTTATTATTATTTTTAATATTTTTATTATTATTACTGTTATAATTATTATAATTATTTTTATTATTATTATTATTATAGTTATTATTATTATTATTATTATTATTATTATTATTATTATATTTATTGAAAACATAACAGGATAAACACTTCAATAGAAGCATGATAGAATTAAGGAATGTACATAATGACTTTTTTACATATTAGTTCGTGCAAATACAATAAATAGATTAACGTTGCAAATGTACATTTTGACTTTTAGTCATGCATTGAAAATTTCATGAGATTTCTTGTTTCATTTTTTTCCAATTTTTGTTTATTTGTTTTCTGAATACAAATTGAATACACTTTACTTAAAATTTGATCAGCATTGAATGTAATTGACAGTTCGTTTGAAAAAGGCAATAGGGTATTTCTCCTTCATTTTGACATACTATGTTTTTGTATTTATAATTTTTCTATACTTATAGGTTTTCCAAAGGAGAATAAATGGCGCTATAAATTTTTACAGAGGATGGTCTAAATACAGGGTTGGTTTCGGAAATTTGAAATCTGAGTTTTGGTTGGGTACTTATCTTTTTATAATCCATTCAATTATATTTGTGGTCACTGTTTATGGGTTTGTGTTTCTGGTCTTGACATTAATGTTTTTAATCTTTCAAAATACTTTCAAACATAAAAATAACAACGGGGAAACCCTTACGATATAGTAAGTTATAAAATGCTTCGGGATGACAAAATGCAAAATAGTTCAAAGGAGGAATTCAACGGCATGATTCAGATCAAACTTATTCGTTCAGTGTATGTTTACTTGTTTTTGTTTAAATATCTTTTTGAGCGAGTTAAGCCATTGCAATTGATATTCTATAGTGTGTCTTTTTATGTAGTAATGTTACACTACTGTTTAGGTTAGGGTGAAGGTTGGCGCCTGTTAAAACGTTTAAACCCGCTGCATGTTTATGCACCTGTCCTAGGTTGTCGTTTGTTGGTGTGGTTCATAGGTGTTTCTCGTTTCGTGTTTTTATGTAGATTAGACTGTTGGTTTTCCTGTTGAAATTGTTTTACACTTGTCATTTTAGGGTCCTTGATAGCTTGCTCTTCAGTGTGAATCAAGGCTCCGTGTTGAGGGCCGTACTTTGACCTATAATTATTATATTTTTATACATTGTGACTTGGATGGAAAGTTGTCTAATTGGCACTCATACCACATGTTCTTATTTATATTAAGCAATACACAAAAACAAATATGAAATACATCAATGCAATCAACGACAACCACTGAATTACAGGCTCTAAAATTAACGATACAAATAATTCAGCTGTACAATCCAATTAAAAGTAGCCCAAAACAGTTAATTTTGCATGAAAACTGAAACTTTCATGTAATCTCAGCAGACAATATTGGTGACAATGAAACAAAGTAGACACTTTTTAACACATGGTATTGCATTCACATTGGAACAAAATGTGATAATGTGGAAACGCTATCTGTTCAGTTAGAAGTTACGTCAGTAGCTTTTGGCATTGTATCATGAACGATTGTTGCAAAAAGGTAACATTGACAAACATTATATTCTTCTAATAACAAATTGCATGGATTTGCGAACTTAAAAAGTAACACTCTACACTCTGATTTCATGGTGTATTTACAATTGCTGAAAATTTAAATCAACCAATATAGACTATTTCGTTAATTAAATTTGTTTAGGCTTCGAAGTTTCGCAATTGGGCTGATAATGCTATGTTGATAAGTGGAGTTGCTTTCTTAAATTACATTATATTTTAACCAGACATGTACACATTTTGACAGCGTGCTTTACAATTTATAGGATTCGGCAAAATATGCTAAGCTGCTTGATTTCTCTTTATTTTTTATGCAATTTTATTTCACTTTCGAACAGGTAATAAATTCATAAACTTGATTACATCTACTGCAAAGTACAGGCTGTACATTCACCTTGAAGATTTTGAAGGGAATTCGAGATACGCAGAGTACAGCAACTTCAGTGTAGGAGATGAAGCAACTAATTACGTTTTGAATGTGAGTGGATATAGTGGGGATGCAGGTAAACTTTAAATACTTATTCCGGTACGATTCTAGTATTTATCGGCAATATGTACATTTTTCCTTTGATCTTACTGCCTAATATTTTTCTAGATCACGCACTGGAACTGATACTCGCAAATATAAAAATATAACCAATTTTTGATTGAGATGAATAAATCTATCTGCGATTAAAAAAGTATTTTGCTCGCGAGAGAAAATTACAAATCATTCATTCCGGTTACAGGATTCGAACTCCGTATCATTGATATCTACTGTTATGAATTTGGTAATCAGCGACTACAAGATCACAGCTATCGACAGGTTGCTTATGTATTGAAAATGTAACATAAAAGGAACAATTGATTCCTTACATTGAAAAAATTAATAGCAAATACATGTAATTAAATTAAAATTGGTTGAACTTATTTAACGTGTTGTTTTCATTTTTTTTTTTAACTTTTGTTAACCTATCAATGTATAAATATAGATTGGAACTGTATAAAAAACAATCATTTGCAATTACAGAATAAAGTAAACATGACATTATCTTTATGTTATTCCCATGATTTATTGTCAAAACGTAAAATAGCCAGTCGTTTTATCAGAAATGGACTAAACTTACGTCGGGCGTTGATTATCGTTTACGAATCTACTACTTCATTTTAAAAATTGGACTACATGATTAAAAAATACAGCTATGAAGACACCTTCCATCTAGACCCTCTATTGTATGGGGAAGAAGTCCCAAATAACAGTAGAAAAATCAATAAAAAAAAAAAATCAATCTACTAATGAACTCAAAATCGTTAAATTTTTTTTTCGTACTTTTTTATTTTCCTGCAATTGCGCTGACATCTCTTTCTTTCTTCCGGTCTCGTTTGTCACGAGACTTGTAAAATATTTGAAAGAGCAGATATCATATTGTTTCCCGTTATTTTGTTGTTTTTGATAATATGTTGATATGGAAGAAAAAAAAACGTTACCTGATGATAGCGTTTCTTTGTTACATTAAAAATCCCTAAAAACAGGACCAACGTCGGAAACGTTTCCGTATTTACGTTTCTTATTAACGGATTCTGAAGTTTAAATATGCTTAAATTAAAAAAATGATGTATACAGACTTCGTCCCCTTTCACAGGTAACGCCTGCCTGATATTATCTTCAACTTTGGCCACTGGATACACTTTTCAGCACTGCACACTGTATTTACATTTATTGATATTTCTCTTTTTATTTACCTGAGCAGGAAATAGCCTGTCGTACCCTAGCTACAAAAACCACAACGGCATGATGTTTTCTACCATAGACAGGGATAACGACAGAACTGACGTCAGCTGTGCAACAACGTTTAAAGGAGGGTGGTGGTACAATGCATGTCATAGGGCTAATTTGAATGGAGAATATTTAGGTGGATTGCACAACTCGTACGCCGATGGTATTGAATGGATTGATTGGAGAGGATATTACTATTCCCTGAAATCTACTAAAATGATGATTAAACGACACTAAAACACGTTTTTCTGGGACTCAAATTTTCATTTTTAAAAGAAAAAAAGAACGTTTTGTGAAAGTGGTTCAGTGATGTAACTACTATCTTTTCTTAAAACAAGTACATAGTGTTAACTAGATCTTGGTGATTCTATTGATAATTTGTTTTATCATATATTTAGTACTAAATACAGACATTTTATATATCTAATAAAGGTTTTTTTCTCAAGTCTGTATCATCTATCCTGTATCGCATAAACCCGTATCGCACCCCTTTCGGAACATCTCGAGACTGTTTTCCGAACTTCTCAGTTGTTAACTGCTTGAAATTTCAGAAGACGACAACGTCAGACATGTTTACCCTCTTGCCACCGGAGGGACACATTTGCCCATATATTTAATTTATGCAAGCACTTGTTCATTACTGCATTTCGTTAAAAAAACACTGAAGAATATAGAGTAAAATCATTCTCTTCCATAGTTCTCCAATGTAACGTAATCAGGGCGCGACGTCATCTAACGAATGACGTCAAAGTTGGACATATGACGTCCAGTTTCTGTATCTCCTAGTATGATATGAATGTAACCACGTCTAATCAGCGACAACAAGAGGTTTAATCCGCAGTCTTCGAACAGTGGAAATGGGAAAAAAAAATTACCTCAGACATACTTGAAATTTGTTCATATCGCCATTATCGGACTTCGTTTTTCTGATTGTGTTTGTATAATTTAAAACAAAGAAAAAAGAGTAATCATCTCATAGTGAGAAAAATGGGGGTTTTCTATCTCATTTTCTCTGTCCATGGACTGCTGCATAACATGGACGAATTCTAGACACTTTGGCACTGAGACAAATCGGCGCCAGGACAATTCGGCATCCGTGAAAACATTTCGGCACTCAAGAAAGACAGTTTGTTAACAAGGCATATCAGCACCTAGACAAATCGGCACCTCATAAAGCTACTTTTTTTATATTCCACTGTTAAGCTTTCAGACCTTATTATAAACAACTAATTGTGTGGCTACAATGTCCTGATACTGATATCGATGTAAAATTTGCTAGAATTAAATACATGTTTTCGATTTGGAAATTTTGCATATTTTTGGAGGTCATTCAAAGCAATTATTTTTTAATATGATATCATTTATGGAGTACATTATAAATTCGTAATCTATGGTTTTTAATTGTAATTTGGAGAAGTAGGTGTTGATGGCCGATCCTTTTATCAGATATGTTTCACTATGCATGCACCTGTTGGTGACCTTCTGCTGTTGTCTGTTCTATGGTCGGGTTGTTGTCTCTTTGACACATTCCCCATTTCCATTCTCAATTTTATGCAACAATTTGCATGGTAATGTATACTGATAAAGGACGATATATGCTAAATGCAGTATTTGGCCCCTTATTTTGTAAAAAAAAAAATGAATAACAATATCTGGGAAAAAACTTACCTTAATAACTTATTGAAGTTTTGTATTTTATGAAAATAAAATAATTATTCAAGTTTTTTCAGGAAATCGATTATAAATAATGCTACGGTTATATGCATGGATCTTTAGTTAATTAACAAAATACATGTAGCACATTTATTCTATTTATTTATACTATCAATTCAATCAAAATAAAAACAGTAAATAGACATAAACAGCACTATATGAACCGTAATTGTTTAGAAGAAGCACACATGAAATGTTAAAATGAAGAACTGAGAACTCATACTGTTTAATACAACAAGTTTTACTTGTATACATTGTAATTTTGCTGGTGGACCATACACACTGGCACATTCTTTGAGGAACATGAATGCAAATGTGGTGATGTTGCAGTACTGGTCCCAGAGTGCAACTTAAAAAGTCGGCCCTGGGTCTGCCTACTGTGTGATGTCAAATCTATATTGGATGTTATATCAATCCTCAACCAATATATTTTTTGAAAGCAGATTTAAATTCGAAAAAAAAAACTAAAGTCCTCTGTTTGAATATAATACAAAGTGATTAATGCATAGTAAAATCCGTATCACATGCTTTATCACCCTCAACCAATATCAGCCCTCGGGCCTTCGGCCTTCTGGCTGATATTGGCTACTCGGGCTGATGCAGCATGTCAGTCGGATTTAACTATGTATCATTCTTTATTTATTTGTAACTACCTGAAATTTCAGTCACATAAACAAATATAGGAGGTAGCTATTTTTTTTAACTGTCAACCAATTCCCATTACCAAAATAAATCAAAGAACATATAGCATAGTTTAGACGCGGTCTAAAGCAACACACACAAAAATTCATATATATATCGTTGGATTATAAATCATTTACATTATTCCTATTGTTATGGCCAGAAATCACCTTTAAGTGGTAGCCAACAAAAGACAAAATTCAATGATAAATTTAACAAGATTAGTTATACAATTTTACAAGAAATATTATACAATTGAAATGTCAACTTAACTGTTAAATATATGTCCGATCCTTTGTCTTTTCTTTATCCGGAATTCTTCTCCTAACTTTTGCAGATTCCAAATGTTAGTATATCCAATAAGTTCACAAACTAGTACGATGTCGTTCGTAAATAAAAGTGTCAATCCAACAACTCAAGAAATCTTCTGAGAATACAAGTATATTGATGTCTGTCTGAAAACCTAACTTTGTTGTCTCTATATATATAGTTGTCACGGAAACTTCTAGAACACTGTAGAATGGAAATCCTAGAAAATTGTAGACCGGAAACTTCTAGAATACTATAAAAGTTTAAATTAAACATCGTAGATTATGATAATTCCGGAATTATTATGCAAGTCAAATAGAAAGTTTTAATCATTCCATCAGTATCCATGATTGTTCCAGTGATTTCTAAACTGCACAGTTATAACATTATTTTGTAAACAACTATAAGGCCACACAAATTGAATTAGGCCAAGATAAATAAACATGATAATTACAATATCATAACACTATACCGGTTTCTCTTCTCACTTAAGATATTCATGGTAAACATCCATAAAACAACATAACAATATAAACGTTGTCATTGGTAACGTCACGTTACATACACACCACACAACAAGGGGAGTAACGTTAAGGGCATACGATGCAGTTTTGATCCCATGGTGAATTTATGACGAAAATTTGCATACAAGCTATTTTTCACCTAATCAATTGAAATATGTAATAATTAATATGCCTTCATGTGCTACTTTTAGAGATAAATGGGGTCCAAATTTTAGATATTTACTCAAAATTTCGATTTCTTAAAAATTTCTATCCTTTGGAGAGGCATACCCAATTTTTTTGTTTCAAAAGATAAACACAAGCGGATTTTTGTGAAAGCAAATGAGGTATCTTTCTGACATAAGTATGCTCTAAATTTGTATAACAATTCTTTAGAAATAATTCAATTTTATTAAATTATCATGATTTTAGAAAAAAACCGGCATTTTTTCTGTATATTTATCCAATTTAAAAAAAAATCATCGGTGATTTTTTCATAAACATTGGTACAAATAATCTTCATATATAATCAAGCCAAATATCGTTTTTAAAAAGAGGGGTCCATACACTCGTTTTCAAGCTAATGGTTATAATTATTAAAAAAAAATGCATCTTTTTCCGATATGTCAGTTTGACGTCGCGAAAATAACATTTTACGTTAGCAACGTCATTATCTCCCCCCTACAACTGTATCGTATGCCCTTAAAATAAAAATGTAACGCATTCGTAATGTAGAATATCAAAATACGTCCGCTATTTAAAAAAACAACAAACAAACAAAAATTATCTGTTTCAATTTGGTTATATTTATGACTATAAAATGTCTATTTGTTAATTCTCTCTAGTTCTGTTGTTACTTCAGAACACTGATATCATGGAACTAGTTTGTATTTAATTGTTGTCCTGCTAGAACAATCGTCTAAGTGTTCACTTAGTGATATCTGTCTATAAATCAGTTTGTCAGTGAACTGTCTTTGTTTATTGAAGTGACATTCATGATTGTCCATTGTAATCTTATCCACAATCATTACATTTCATGAAGTTCAAACGATTTCAGAAGCGCACTTAAAAAAAGATTTTATTTTAGATATTTGGCCTGGTTTAAAATGGAAGTCGAAGCCTTAAGGTCGGTTTTGACATATTCCCATATTTTGCAATCTGCATTTTTTAACGGAAGGCTTACTTTTGTCACTTGGCAAACGAGCATTTTTTAACAATGTTTTCAAAGATTTCTGTTTTATATAGTATCAAAATAATGGAATATGATTGCAATTGGGGAAACTACTCACCAGAAATGTCGAGAGGTAGATGCATGTTAATGTAGGTATTCAAGAATGAGCGATACAGTACAACCTGAGACATTATCTTAATTATGTCCACCCTATTGTATGGTCAACATCTAATGGTGGCCATTTATTGGGGTATTCAATCTTGAGATGTTGGACATTTATTGGGGTCATAAACATAGGTTGATGTTTTATCTAATTATGTTACCTGTTGAAATCAATCAGGGTTGAAGTTTTAGCTTGTATGTTTCATTAAAATTTATCTGTACAGGTGACTCAGGTGTCTTATAAAATTGAAATTTCACCTTTTTTTTTAATTGTAGAATAACATGTTGTTTTAGTCTTTGTTAATCTATATATTTGTTGATTTGTCTGTCTTTAAATTTACTTACTTTTATTTTATTTAAATGTTTTCATTTTATTTTTTGTCATTTGTTTTTTTTGTTTCTCATTCTTTTAAATTCTTTTTGGTAATAATCCTGAGTAGAATTGAAAAAAAAAATCAAAATAAAGTTATTACATTGTATTCAATTGTTCATTTGAATTATGAAATGAATTATTATTAATTATAAATAATAATCATGCACATGATATGTTTAAAGGAACCATTTAGCCAGTAATTTAAAAAGTTTATTAACTTAACAAAATAAAAAGATCAATATCAATCCTTTTACAATAACTTTTTATAACAAAGTTGTAAAATCTATTATTATCCAAGAAAACTACAAATATCTTTATATGGTTTAGGAAAAAACTGTTTTTGTTCATCATTATTTTTTTCTGGGACTTGTATAAATGTCTCCAGAAAAAAAGTTCCTTCTATAGATTGTGACATTTTTACGGTCTATTAATTAACTCCCTTTTTGTTCTGTGTATTATATTGTCTAAAACTGCTGGACTTGCATGATACATATTCTTGGTATACATTTGTCAGGAATATTTCACTCAACCCA